GCAGATCCATCCTTGGTTGCAGCCATTCATACCTGGATTGAGCTGGAATGGCCTTGCAGTTCGCTTGAGTGGGCCACTGAACCAGCCGGCACTCGATATTTGGGCATGGAAATTCATCAGCATGCTGACTTCAACTTTGAGATCTCGCAAGGAGGCTACATAAAGGAACTTCTTCGAAACCACAACATGGACGAGGTTCAGGGATCCCGTTTGCCGTGCCCAAAAGAGTGGCTTTGCGAAGGAGAAGGAGAAGAAGACCAAGATGAAAATTATTCCTCCGACGAGCTAAAGTTTGCACAAAGGGTGGTTGGGGAGCAGCTGTGGCTAACTATGAGGACAAGGCCGGACCTACAGTTCCCGGTAGGATTCATGGCTGCTCGAGTAAGTCGTTTCCCGAACCGTGTTGCACAAGTTGCGCGAAAAATCTTGGCCTACTTGAAGAGCACTCAAGAGATGAAGTTGGTTATGGGACCTAATGGGAGCGAGCCTGCGAGAAGCCCGGCCCTGGTTGGGTATTCAGATGCCAGTTTCTCCCCTTTTGGGGAAAAATCCTTTGGTGCCACCGTCGTCACCGTCCACAGTTCCCCTATTGCTTGGAAAGCTTCGAAGCAAAGTTTCGTGACACTTTCTGTGATGGAAGCTGAATTGTACGAGACAGCGAATGCCTTGGTGCTGATTGAAAGTGTTGGGAGCATTTTGGACGAGATTGTGGGCACAAGGGCACCCCGTCTTTTGAGAGTGGACAACTCATCTGCCCTGGCGATGATCCAGGGTGGCCCCGGAAGCTGGAGGACGCGACACCTCAAGGTGAGAAGTGCCAAGATTCGGGATGAAGTGGAATCTGGTGGGCTACAGGTGGAGCACATCACGGGAGACCTCCAGCTGGCCGATTTGGCCACGAAGATGCATCCGAAGATGAGGTTGTGGGAGCTTCTCACTCTGTGGGGCTTCAAGGATTTGCCGTATGAGGCCGTGGAGGCTTTGGAGGCGAAGAGCGCCTATCTAGCACTCCTTGTGATGGCCTTGATCGTGACCCCGGTGGACGCTGAGGAGGAGCCCTCTGAGAACAGAAGGCTGCAGTCTATTGGAGTTGATGAGCTGATGTTGGTGACGATCCTGGTGTGCATTGCAGCAGTAACCCTCTGGGAAATGCTGAAGTGGGCCACTAGATGCGTGATTCGGTTCTTTAAGGAGTCTCCCAAGCAGAGGAAGCTCAGAATACTGAAGGAAGCGGCTAGGTCGGCTGCCGAGGAGGAGGTCGACCGAGCCCTGGGCACTAGACCAGAAGGAGAAGCTGCTGAACCTCCAGAACCTCATCCAGTTCCTCGTGTACGACCACAGAGACGCGTAGTTGACCCGGAGCCAGAGAGACCCCAGGTAATGGAGCAGAATTTCGAGCTGATGCCCAGTAAGGCGTACTACAAGACGAACTCTACGAGATCAAAGCTCCACACAAATCCGCAGTGCCACGGACTCAGAAACTCTGGTGATGTATACGCAGTCGAGTACTGTGCGTATTGCCAACGAGACACCCCGCTGTACACTCGTCGGAGTCGATCCCTCCAGCCTACAAGGTCGTATTGAGACGAAAAGTTGTGGAACCTCTGAAGCGTGCAAAGGGTGTTGCATGATGAGTTGGGCTGTGGAGCAGCTCAAGCACTACGAACCTTGTTTCGTACTCGGCCTTTAAGATGTGATTGAGACGATCGCATCACCTCAATCAAGGAGGAGTGTTGAAGGCTGAAGTTTGTGCTGAAGCGTTGTGGTTTCAGTCTCGCAGCTTATGCTTGCAAGGCAGTGCATGTGAACACAAGTGCAAGCCGCAAGTAGTTGCCCTTTCAGACAGAAGCCAGCGAACTCACTTTGCTGCTGTGTAAAAGAAGACTTGAATTCGGAGTCGGCGTGCCATGTCATTCCTCTGTTCTGTTTCGTGAAGACCACAGGCAGTAAGACCGGACAGACCTCGAACTTTTCACAGTGGTAGTACTCATCCCGGATTGAGAAGTCCGCCGGGAAAGACAGGCAAACATTGTGGCAACCCCTACTACTACAAGGGGGGGGGGGGGTTGTGGTACAAAATGCTGCAGAGAGGCGCTGTCAGCATTTGGTAACCGAGTTGGCGTTGCTCCGAGCCATACTTCGCCTGCAACGGCAACTAACCCATCAATCAAAGCCAATTCAACATCCTGTCAAGGACATTCAAACCTCATGTTACTACTTATGCGATTATACAAGCACGCGTCTGTGTCTGCTTATGTACACATCGACAAGCGGAAAAACATCGAGACAGTGTTGAGCTCGTATGTGCCTGAACATGCATAGGCAGGGTTTTCACGTTGTAGTTGTATGTCGGGTCGAATTTTACGAACACCTATACACACATGGATGCACACACAGGTCAGGCGAGGTGTGTGGGGGTTTCGCCAAAAGCATACACACACACACATTTGTCGTCGCACCTATGTGTATATATATATATGTGTGTGTGTGAGATTGTATGTGCACACGTATGTATCCAGAGAAATGCTTAAACACCTACCGAAACCTACTACGTGGGACTGGGGTGCAGGCGTGGCCACCTACAGCCAGGTCTGTTTGCCAGCTGAAACTGCGTATTCTATAATGGTAGAGGTAAAGGGAAAGATACATAGCCCCCCGCAAGGCTGCTCACATTTACTGAACACGGTCCACTGCAGCGCAAGGCTTGAGACTGGCATGAATCGACATGTAAATCAGGCGAGCTGGGCAGGTCTACAAAGATTAATTTATGACGACGTCATGAAAACACGAGCAGTGGCATTGGAGAGTGATTGTACAATTGAAACACAGCAACACTCCCGTGAAAACCACTGCGGGGCCTACAGCCGCATTAGAGGAGAGAGGAACAGCTTCAAGCCGGGGAGGCGGTTGCCGTCGAGATCAGGGCTGGAAGGGGGATTGGCGGGCGACTGCTGGCCACTGTGTCTGCAGCTCTGTTTGAGGACAGCTATGGACCCTCCGAGTGTACGAAGTGTAAATGTGCTTCCAAGCATGACCCCCATCGAATGCACACTGTTGATGTTTGTTCATTCACGCCCTACGGCTATGACATCGTAAGGTCAAGGGCCGAAATCTCCTGTAGTTTCGTAGCGACTGCTTTGATCGGTTTGCTTGCAGCTCTGCTCGAGGACAGTTATGGGCCCTTCGAGTGGACGAAGTGAAAATACCTTTGTTAATTCCCATCTTCGGATTACAGTGAAGATCCAGCCACAAGTGACTGAACACACCTCGCATACCGTTGGAACTTCCGACTGTCAACCGTGCAAAACATCGACAATGTTGATAACGACCAACAGCTTGTATCTCTAAGAGTGTACTTCGGCCGGCTGAGCAGTGGCAATGTAGTGGCGTTCCTCGGGCGGTGTCGAAGAACCACAGGAAGGCTGCCCACAGCGCGAGGCTGCAGCTCATCAGCATACTGGATCGTTGTGGCGAGCCATCGCTGCAGAAGGTTGCAGGTCATGCTGTTTTGCAAGAGGAGTGAGATTTTCAAGCACAGCGGCACGCAGAACTCAGTTCGCTTGACACTTCTTTAGACTCTAAGTTTAGAGAAGGTCTCACGTGTGGCGGCAACCTACTGGGCTTCCTCTTGATTACAGATCTTCGGAGCTGCTGGCCAAGCCGGGATGCCTGCTTTTCAAGCAGATCAACCTGCCCTGCTGCAAATGGCCCTGTCCAGCGAGATCAGACCTCAGAACACATCCGACGTTTTCCTGTCGGCGTAGCACACGCGCCTTGAGCGATCCCTGAACTACACATGCAGTCTGAAAATCTACAAAGACGAAGGCAAAGACAGCACGGCTTCGTAGCTTTGAGCCGTGCATCAACAACGAATGTACAACCAATACACCGACCCTACCAGACGATGCATCACGGTTCAATTCGATTCTAGACCGATGCCTTCCTCCGTTAGCGCTTCCATGGTGCTGAGCAGCATGCACGGCACCGATTGCCTTTGCATCTTAAGCGCCACGCAACCGGACCTGTCCAAAGTGGAAGCAGTGAAGGATCAGCTGCCAGTCACCAGGGGAGACACTGCGAATTCGGCTTTAGAAAGCCAGAGCTGGAAGCAGAAAGCCCTTCGGGCACCCTTCCGTGACTCCTTGGCCCAAAGCTGTGGACTGCATTGTTAACATATTGTAACGCAATATGTCGCAACAGCCCTGTTCTGCTGGATGTGGTCTAAAGCTGCCCAAGGATTCTGATACGGATTGCAACGGCCGGGCAAGTTTTGACGTCCGGCCTCATTCACCGCAGGCCCATCAAAGACACCTTCGCCAAAGCACCTGCGCATGAATCATGTTGCCCCAGCACTGCCTGCAGTCCCAAGAATGCTGAGAACCTCCATAAGGCGACACTACCTCGCGCCGCTGTGTGTGCGGCTGCGGTTGTCCTGCGTACACGATGGCAACTCACGGCTCACAACAAGTTCTAAGTTGAAGCTGCGACGACGTCGACGAGTGTGCATACCGGGGGGCTGTCGGTATGCACAGGCGCACGCGTAAATGTGAAATCTGCGGCATGAGCCGGTGAAGCTGAGCTTTCTCCCTGTCCAACCCTGTAACCCCGCGGTGAATGAACTGCGCACTTCGTATGCGCGGTCCAGCACGAAGGCTCCGGAGCTTCCACCTTTTTTAGAGGCTTGGAGCAGGCTCCTGTCGCTATTAAGGGTGTGCTCCACGTCCCGAGCGGATGCAAAAGCTTGCAAGCACACTTTTCATTGAGGATTCTCGCCTTTGATGGCCGCTTGGCAGCTCATGAGTAATGCCGAAACTGTCAAGGTTGTCCACACTACAGTTGGTGAACATCAGAATGCAAACAGTGCCATATGACTCCCACACAGTGGCATCACATGGAAACCAATTGCAGTGTGGAAAAAATGATTGGCTTTCCGACAAAATCTCCAAACACTGCAAAGACGAGATGTAATAGGTGTGCTGTGATTTGTAGCTGCTTTGTAGCTTCGAGGCTTGGCATCTGGCGCTTCAGCAAGCGGCAAAAAGAAATGATGAGACAAGCAGACACTCCTTTCAACAACAGACCATGGAATTGTGTCCTGACACCTCTGAAAGGATGCCAGAACCGCTCTCTGCATAGTCTCGCTAACGGGTCGAGACCCCCGCAATCATGAATTCTGAACGTTCAAACCGGAACCGAGAGAGGCGGAAGGCCTCCAAGCATCTTGGACTTGCGGTGTCTTGCCAGGAGTTGGTGGCAAATCGACCGCTCCGGAGACTCGACTGCGCGAAGATTTGGTGTTGGTACATCTGCTTGATCTAATTGTGTCGATCATGTGCAGGGCTTGATGTAATTCGTGACAGAGTCCTTTGAAGCCTTGCTCAGCTGTTCAACATCAAGCGGCTTCAGCCCGGCTTTGCCAGCTCGTAGCACAAAGGCTCCAGACACATGCACAGATTTACAGTGACCAAAATATGCCGCAACCGCTTCCATCGATTGTAGCTGCACTGTAGCGCCTGTAAGCTGCACTCACTCTGCGCATATCTCGATTGGCGGCTCCGACTCACTGCGCACCATCGCACGGCTACCTTCCACGGTCGTCAGAAGCAATGCGGCATCATGCAACAAGAGATCTGACCGAGCTTCTCTGCTGTGACACAACGAAGTTAAGCCCATGGCCGCGAACTTGCACTAGCACTGGGGGGCTTCATGTCGTATGCCGTCTGAAGCTTTCTTCAGAGCTTAACGAATCTCAACGAAAGTCAATTGCTGGGATAATGCTGCGCTTTACAATACGCGTAGCTGCAGAAGCCAGAAGACATGCCGCATTTGCTCACTCTACTGTCACCAGCTGACGCGACACAGTCTGGCCCAGTTGCGAACTTGGGAGCGTGAAGCAGTTGCACTCTCCGAGTAAACCTGGCCAGCTCATGGCCCATTTCCGGGGTTTTGAAAGCATTAAGATGAATATCATCTAACTCGGAGTTCGGTGATCGAACAATTCTAGACACTGTAAATCTGCATCCATTGAATACCACATGCTGCACAGACCTCTTGGACAATGCCAGTGAGCATGGAGTCGGGAACCTGACCGGCTTTCTGCGTGTATGCCAGTCTGCAATCTGCGAGTCTATCGCAGTATAGGAAGGTCATGAACACCTCGAACACATTCCTTCATGTCCTGCTTTGCAAGCAACATCCTATCAACACTAACGAAGCACAAGCCCTGCTCATTGCTAGCCTTGCCTTTTTTGGCTGCTGTGTGCCACGTCGTAGAGCCTCCAGGCATTGCCGGCCCACTTGGATGTTCAATGAGGCACTGTTCATTGCGTCTCTCATGCTGTGCATGTCCGGGCACGGCTTCAGATGCCCTCTGCGAACTTCAAGATTTCTACCAGGCATGATCGGAGTGGCCTGACGCGCGCCCCGGGCAACAGCCTGGGACAGCGACTTGGCGGCATCCAGCCTTCGCGCATGTTGTTTACAGCATGATAAAGCATGAAGCGTGCTCAGTCGACCGATGCATCTTACATCATCTTACCAACAATAGATCGAGGTCGGGAAAAGCCACTTGACGCCTTGACCTCACCATCATCGGGATGTGGCAACTTATGGGCCCTTTTAGTCGTGCAAACTTCGTGAGTGCTTTGCTCAAACACTCCCAATGCACAAGACCTACGATAAACTCTCAAAGGACCCATACTTGGATGTCCATATGAACTGCACACCACGCTGCGCGCTGGCTTTCACCACAACGAGGCGGCCTGAACCAGAGTCTGAAGTCTAACGCTGGGTCCGGCAAAGGACGACAAGACCTCCAGGGGCCTCGTGGCCTTGTGGGGCTAGCGCTTCCATGCATACCGCTGTCGGCTTCAAGGGATCGAAACTGAAATTATCAACGGCCTTCCCATCTCTCTATCTCTCTCTCTCTCTCTCACACATGAAAGCCAGCAGGCACAGCGCGAATGCAGAACCTGCTTCCTTCGTCAAGCCCACCCGACTAGACTAGACAGGAACCGACCTCAACCCAGGCACCACATTCAGATATCTGGCCAAGGGTCGATTCAGCAACGTGTTGGTGGCTGGACCACGGCTTCCCTGCGTTACCTCGAAGACTGCAAGGATGCAAGTTTGTTGGCTTCTGTTCATGAGGTGCCCCTCCGAAAGCAGCTTGCCTGTGCAGAAGCCTCGGGGTTCAGGTCCTCAGCACCTGCGCAACTCTTCTTGGATTGTCTCAATTCGCAGAAGCATGCCGAGGCCGCACCAAGACAACGTTGGATCCAATGTTGCAATGTCAATGCAACTGTGTAAGCTGAAGTCGTCGGTCGCCTGATTCCAGAACGCGGAGCTGCTGTTTAAAGGTTCAGGCGCATGCCTACATCGTAAGTGATTCTTGCAGTGTTGTACACTTCAGTGCTGCAATGCTTTTTGCTATGGCTGCCTTATAAGGCTATAGGCTATTATAGGCTACTGGCTAAGTCGGTCAAGTCATCTGGTCACACCATATCTTACCAACGCTCAGCGTCGCTGTTTTGCACACCCTGGCCGCCCTGGCCGGGTCCTGGACAACAGCCGCTGGCAGTCCCCTGCGATGCGCGGTGTCCGCACCTGCGGCCTCAGCTGACAGGATCGTCAACGACAGGATCGTCAACGCAAATCTTTGCACCCGTGGGCCCAGTATGGTACATTCGGACGAAGCGGCCTTGGCTGGGGATCTTTCCGGGCCGAGGCGCTGCGCAGTCCTCATCGTCGCAGCATAAAGAAAAAACCACAAGAAGATCAAGTCTAGCCGTCAAACGTCATGCACATGGTGAGCTTAAACACGCTTAAACTCTAGCCGAAGTAGCCTGCACTCGATGGTCGAAGTGGTGGCAACGGAGCCTCGTCTGCCCGAGCTGTGATGCTTTATGTCACACCTCAAGCCAGCCTTACTGTGACTTCACACCCAACTCTTGTCCAGCCTCGGGCGGTGCGGCAGCGCAAAGAACTGGCGCGAAATGAGCACAAAGGATGATGATATGTGGCATGTTGCTGTCTGATGCATCAACCGTCTCCAGAAAGGCAGGGACAATCTGACGGTTCCACTGGCTCACACCAAGATGCTGGAGACACATTGCGAAACAGAACGCGAAACTAAGCATGAGGTGCTCAGTGCTGCCACTTGACAGCAAGGTTGGTTGTAAGCGCTTCTCTCAATGCATCAGTCACTCTCTGGTGCCGCGACCTGGCAGCGGTGCATCGGCATTGCGCCGCAACTCCTGCAGCCTTCGAAACCTCAAGCAGGCCAAGCAGGGCGAGGAGAGTGAAGCGAGCACACTGCATCAGTTTTACCAGAAAAGCTTGGGTTCCAACGGTGCCGCGGTACCAGGCAATTGCGCAGGGCTGCCCTAGCAACAGCTGCAACAACCGTCCATCCGTCAATCCATTGTCAAATGCATATTCTCTTCGGGCTTGCTGCTAGGCAGATCTAGGCAGTCGGCCAGCTGTGGCCGGCTGCGAATCCGTACCGTCTATTGAATTATATTTAGCTGGCTCTACAGATTGTCATGTTCCTATGAGCTTTCGGACACAGTCACCTGCGCAATGAGCAGCCGTCAGTGGGCCTCGTCTGGGGCTTTTTCAAGGGACGGGTAGGCGGTGTCAGCCTGAGGTGCAGCATGTGCAGCTGCCTGCGCTGCTTGCGAGCAAAGCCCAGCTCTCCAAATCCGAGCTTCATGCTTCCGGAGCTTTCTTCCGGGGCGGGGCTGATGATGGCCGCGAAAGCTTCGCCTTTTCCGACTCCTTCAGGGAGCGAGTCTAAGCCTGCGCTTCATTCTTACCTGGGAGCTTTGGGTCGGATTCCTCGAGCAGAGATTCGAGGGTCTGGTGCAAAGGCTGCATGAACAGGACGTCGCTCGCCTTTGCTGGTGGATCGGAGAGTGCCGGAAATTTCTCTAAGTTGACGAAACCAAGTCGCTGAGGGCCTCTTGTTCCGATTGTGTGACCTGAGTACAGGCACTTCATCTTGCAGCCGGCTTTCGCCTGCTTGCACATGTTTTCCACTAAGAAAGCTGCAAGACGGCTGCATAGACCTTGGCCAGCTCGGCCGAATACGTGATCGGAAACCGCGGGGCAGCTTTCCTTCATGGCTTACTGCCACAATGTCAAGGCCCTGTTTCTGAAAGACGAGGTGCAAATCCAGCAGTTTTGTCTCCAGAACCCTTCAGTCTCTGCTTCTCAACCCTGACCAGCTCTCCTCGTGATCTCAGCCATGAGCTCATCCAGAGTGTCACCCTGGAGCTGAACACGCACAGTGATCGAAAACATGTCGATCCTCCGTTCAGCCAAGGCACATGGTATGGAAGCTTCAGGGCTGACAGCTCATAGAGCACCTGGCTTCACACGAGAGGATTCGGGGAAAAGCCGGTAAGCTGCGCCAAAATCCGCCGGGCCAAC